TTTATTATTTTTATACTAATTTATATTAAAATATATATTAATTATACCTTTAATTAGATAAATACATATTAAAAAAACCTACTCTGAAGAGCTCTCTCCTTCAATCATCTCGTGATATTTTCACCCTAATCTCGTGATACCACCACAATGACCACCGGCGTCGGTCAACTCCGCCGGTATTCGGTACCCCTAGCCTAGCAACGTCCCTCCTATTGTTCCACCAACTTTAATTTAAAATCACTCTAATTATTTCCAAAATAAATTTCAATTAGTAATATTTTATTCATCTTTTGTCCCTAACGTTCGCTTTTACGCTCGAAATGGGAATGGGGGATTCAAAAAGAATTATTTATAATTTTATAAAATAATAGTAAAAAGACAGGAATATAACGGAAAAGGAGGAGAGAGAATTCGGTGCGTTTCGAGCTGTGTTATAGCTGTCTCTTTGATGGAATGAATTATTAATATTATTATTTTTTTTTTTTTCTCTCTTTCCAAGCGCGTTTTCTCTCTCCCACATCTCTAAATTCTCATAGAAAATAAAACCCCACTACACCTCCTTTCTCTCTCTCTCTATCCCTAATTCCATTTCTCTTCTTCAGATCTCTCTCTCTCAAACTGAGTGAGAGGTTGCAGAAACGCAAAATCAAATCCCCAAACAGGTGAAAAGAGAATCGTCAGCGACGGGAGGGAAAGAAAACAAAGTGGCATTTGGAAAAGCAGATGTCTCATGTGAGATGAAGAAGAAGAAGTCTCACTGTTTTGCTCTTGCGGTCGTCCTCATTGCTGTTTTTTGCGGTGTTTGTTCCGGTGAGGAGGTGTCCTTCTCCGGCCATGACTCTCTCACTGACCAGGAAGTGCTTTACATCAAGCAGCGGCAGCTTCTGTACTACAGGGACGAGTTTGGCGACAGAGGAGAGTACGTCACCGTCGATCCTTCACTTGTGTTTGAGAACCAGAGAATTAGACAAGCTTACATAGCTCTTCAAGCTTGGAAGCAAGCGATTCTCTCCGATCCTAACAATTTTACTGTCAACTGGGTTGGATCTGATGTGTGTAACTACACTGGTGTTTTCTGTACTCGGGCACTTGATGACCCTAAGATCCGGACCGTCGCCGGCATTGATCTCAACCACGCAGACATCGCCGGGTACTTACCGGAGGAGCTCGGGTTGTTGACTGATCTTGCATTGTTCCACATCAACACCAATCGGTTTTGTGGTACTGTTCCTCATAACTTCAAGGACTTGAAGCTACTGTTCGAGCTGGATATTAGTAACAATCGGTTTGCTGGTAAGTTTCCGGCGGTGGTTCTGCAGCTGCCGACTCTTAAGTTCTTGGATCTGAGGTTTAATGAATTTGAAGGATCTGTGCCGAAAGAGCTTTTCGATAAGCCTCTGGACGCGGTGTTCATTAATGACAATCGGTTCAAGTTCGAGCTGCCAGACAATTTCGGCAATTCGCCGGTGTCGGTAATCGTCCTTGCCAACAACAAGTTTCATGGATGTCTCCCGCCTAGTCTCGTTAACATGCCCAATCTCAATGAGATAATTTTCTTGAACAATGGGTTGAGATCTTGCTTGCCGAAGGAGATTGGCAGGCTCAAGAACGTGACTGTTTTCGATGTCGGCTTCAACGAGTTAATGGGAACATTGCCGGACACAATTGGAGGAATGTTGAGTCTTGAGCAGCTTAATGTGGCACACAATATGCTCTCCGGCCAAATTCCGGCGAGCATTTGTAAGTTGCCTAAGCTGGAGAACTTTACCATCTCTTACAACTACTTTACTGGAGAGCCACCAATTTGCTTGAAGTTGCCGGCATTCAACGACAAAAGAAACTGCTTGCCCGCCAGGCCTTTCCAGAGAAGCGCGGCGCAATGTAAGTCTTTCTTGTCTAGGCATGTGGACTGCAACTCATTTAGATGTGTTCCTTTTGTTCCAAGCATACCTACTCCCCCACCACCTTCTCCGCCAATGCCGAGCTACTCACCTCCGCCACCACCTCCACCATCACCTCCACCACCGCCACCACCAGTCTACTCACCACCTCCTCCTCCCCCATCACCTTCTCCACCACCACCACCAGTTTACTTCCCTCCACCACCACCACCTTCCCCACCTCCTCCACCCTCACCGCCGCCGCCCTATCCTTCACCGCCTCCACCATCGCCTCCACCGCCCTCGCCTACATACTGTGTGCGTTCCCCACCTCCTCCGCCACCAAATTCACCACCACCTCCACCTCCTTTGTTCTCTCCACCTCCACCAGTGCCGTATTACTATACCTCCCCACCACCGCCACAACATTCACCACCTCCACCACCTCACTCACCACCACCGCCTCCCCATTCACCACCTCCGCCAATTTATCCATACTTATCACCACCGCCCCCACCAACTCCTGTTTATTCTCCCCCTCCTCCTGTCCATTCACCACCACCACCATCACCACCTCCATGCATAGAGCCACCTCCTCCACCACCCCCATGTGTTGAGCACTCTCCTCCGCCACCATCACCGCCCCCACCGACCCTTTACCTTCCCCCACCATCACCATCACCTCCACCACCCCCTCTTTATAAATCGCCGCCGCCACCACCCCCGCAGTATTACCATTCACCCCCACCACCAGTAGTCCACCATTACCCACCGCCTCCATTACCGTCACCTCCACCGCCAATTCCATGTGAAAACCCACCACCACCCATTGTTTACCAAAGTCCAACTCCTCCGGCTCCAGTATACGAGGGTCCATTGCCACCAGTAGTTGGAGTTTCATATGCTTCTCCTCCTCCACCACCGTTCTATTGATTCTTTTGAGACTTTTGCTCCTCTAACCCTCATCACAAGCCAAAAAAAAAAAAAAAAGAACTCTTCTTACAGTTGCATTAGTTAGTGCGGCCTCTTTTTTCCTCTCCTTGCATTTCAATTCAAGAACCCTTCTTTCTCATTGGGCAATTCTCGTCGCTCGTGGAAGAGACAATTCAAGCCTCTGCAGTTGTAGAATTTGATTATCCATGTGATTGATTCTTGTCAAATTGAACACCAAAGAAGAGGTGAAAAATAGAGAGATTGAGAGTGAGAGGGTAAGAGGAGGAAGTCTCTCCATATTTATTTGAATTTTATGGATATTTGAGTTGTTAAATAAAAATGGCAGAGAAAGTGTAGGTTGCAGAGAAAGTTGTATGTATAGAGATGAATGGAGACCATAATCATCCAGTCTTACACAGGCAGCAGCACTCCCTAGCTGCCAGTTTGTGTGGATTTTTATTGTTATTATCTCTTCTTTCATATCATACTTTTTTTTTTCTTTTGGGTTTCTCTTGTTTTCCATTTTATCGTATAATTGATGAACATTTTTCTTGTATTGGTTTCCTGAATTCCGATCATTTCCTTTCTTTCCCAGTTTTCTGGTTCTGTTTCTCTGTTGCAAGATTGAATCATGTCATTGTGTGTATATATATATATATATATCTATATATGTATGGTAAGCATTATGTCCTTGTATTTTTGTTATTGCATTCGGGTATTTCTTCATTCACTTCATTGCATAGAAACCTGGAAGCTGGAATGGATTGATATTTCCAATTCCATTTGCTTCAGTGAGAATTTGGGAAAATGGGTTTTGATTGGGAATCCATGTGGCTGAATGATGACCGCTTTCTCGGAAAAATTTTCTTTGTTTCTCACTGTCATCATTTGCGTTTTCACTCATCAAAGGCCAGAATTTTCGATCGAGGCAAGCAGCATATGGTTGGCTGATGGTGAGATCTTTGGTGGTGGGACCTGAAGTGCCATTCAAACAAATCCCCCCTAAATTGGTGCTAGATTTAATCCATGATTGATTAATATGGTAGGGATTAAGCCCATGTGCACGCACTAATCTTGGTTTGAAATTTTCGATTTCAAAAATAAAAATTTGGTTTCTTCTCGCTCACACCTCTACCTTTGGGAATTAGGAAGCATTGATCTTACTATGCTCGTCAATAAAGGTTTCAGTTGACTAATGCCTTTTTGTTCTTCTACATTTTTTAAAGGAGATATTCCTTCCAAATGTTGTTCATTCTTTTTAGGATTTTGGAGGTACATTTTTCTGAACAAGACTTTGGTTCAAAAACATCTAAAAATCATTCTTGTTGGCGTTAAATTATGAGTAGAAGTTAGAATAAGTGTTATAGGTAACACTTAGGTAATTTAATTTTTTTAAAGATAACATTTTTTTTTCTTTTTTAGATAATATTTAAAAAAATTAATTTTTTTAAATGTATCAAGTTTTTATGAATATATACTCTTGAAATTTTTTTTTGAAAGGAATAAATTTTTAGATGTATAAAATCTAACTTGAAAACACTTACCCAAACCCCCCTCTTAAAAAAAGGTGAAAATTAGGTGATTTGGCCTCTTAAAAAATAAGAAAATAATTTATTAATAATGTTTTGTGGCAAAATGATTTTAGTTTTTCTTATGAGTAGTTGTATTAGTGTTTGGTATTATAAACACTAATTTCATTATTTTATATAAATTAATGATTGAGTTAGCCAATTATTATTGCTTATAATCCAATACTTATTCCATTGATTAAAGATCAATAATTAATTATTATTATTATTATTATTATTTTCATGATGATTGTACCATGAGAGGCAATCCTCTCATATCTCTTATTTTAACTCACACATGTATCATATGATTCAAATTTAGTATATTTTACTTCCAATATAAAATTGTTATTAACAACTAAAACAAACTGCAATTTAGGCTATGGTTATACCCACCTAAAATTTTGTTAAGACCATATAAATTTGGCAATATTATTTTAAAAATATTTATTTTATTTTATACAACTACTAAAAATAATTGATAATTGATAAAATAAGTAATATTTATTATTAAATAAATTAAAATTAATTTATAAATTAATATTTTTAAATATTATAAGTAATTGTTAAAAAACCTATAAACAAATAAAATATTAATTAAACTAAATACAATCGATATCCTTAGCAAGATTTTGTGTGTTCATACTCACATTACGTGCTTTATACGTTTTTTATCCAGAAAAAAGGGAATGACTATCGTTCGATACATGACGGGCAAAAAGAACCATACAAAGTCAATTGGGATAAACCCCAGGAAAATGTTACATCTATGGAAATGAGCATTCTAATAATACATACTATTGTCCTCAAACCTCAAACCTCAAACCTCAAACCTCAAACCTCAAATGTGATAGTGCTACAAACCTTAAATCTCTAGTCCCACTAATTTCCAAGTAAATTAGGTCCTACTGGATTTTATTTTGGCGCTCATATCGCCCAGACAAAACTAACGCCACACTAAAGGAAAGGCTAGCAAAACCTACTACATAAATCATCAATATTGTGAATTATCATAGAGTTATCTGTATTTTTAGATTCTTATATGTGATTTATTGCCTAAGCTCTTGGTACTAAAAAAGGCAAAACCTACCAACTAGCTAGGTAATTATTAACACTCATGGCATTTGGCATTGTGGGCCAAATTGATTTATTGCTAACTTTGAAGATACATTTTCACTAATATATGTTGATTCAAATCTCTTCTATTAAGCATCTAGTTTTATGGCTCGTTAATTATATGTTTTATTATAAGATGTATCCTTATTTTTTGAGTTGGAGTTCAAATAGGGATAGCAATGAGTCTCTGTGGGGGTGGGGATTAGGGATCCCTTTCCATCCTCATCTCCACCAATGGTAGGTATAAAATTTCTGTAGAGAATTTTTACAAGAAGTTAAAAATAACCTTCGTCCCTATAACTGTGAGAATGATAAGTCTTCACGGGTATTCAGAGTTTTCGTCAAATATTAAATATATAAAATTTAACCTTATTTTTTTTTCTTGATAAATAAAAGAAGTAAAAATTTAAAATAACTCAAAATAAATAAATATATTAATGTACAGTACAACAAAACAATATCTAGTAACTAATTGTAGGAAATACAAATTGTCATACACGTTTAACAGGCTCAACAGTAATTTCATTAAAAAAATGTATAAACTACCACACATGTTCAGGTTTGGTTGGTTATTGAATTGGATTTGAGAATACTAGAATTTGAAAATGAATTAGGCTAAGGAATTTAGATTAAATTGGGTTAACTAATTAGGTTGGGTGAGTAAAAATTAATTGATACTATAGTTACAAATATATATATATATATATAAATAATTTTTTTTTCTTATATATTGATGCTCATGAGACTCCAGGGGACAGAGGAAATTTTTAGAAAATTTTACAAGAAAAAAATACCTCTACCACTATCCCATAAAAAGAAATATTTTTAAAATCTCCATTCCCACGACAGAATATTCTTAGAAAAAAAAAAATCTCTGTTACCGGAGAAAAAAATATTTTTGAAATCTTCATTCCCACAACAAGGATCTTCTTAAAATTTTATAAGTTTCAAAGGAAATTACCATCTCTCTCGATTCAAATCTTTTTCTCTCTCAATATTATAATCTATTCAAAAAAATCTCCCATATCAAAATTTGTACTTGTTCAAAAAAATTTATTAACACACATGGGCCAATTGAGACTTGAGAGGGCTCCCTAGCGACCCCAGCTTGACTCCAGACGAAATATCCCTGTCACCCCTGCTGGGTGATTCATAACTCATTTACCTCCACTCCCTCCTCCACCACCACCATTCCTTTAGAAGCGCCAATTTCAACCCTACCCCTCTTGTCCGCAGGACCACACCGCGTCCTCTCTGCACCAAACTCCCTCCACTTTTTGCCCGCCCTTGCCTCTTTAAGTTTTTGGGTAAAAAATAAAAACAATATATATTTTATAAATTACTTATTTTCATATTAAGGATTTAGTTCAATTAGTTATTGTAAATTAATTGTTCTATGTAATGACATATTATTTTATAATAATTATCTAATTTGTTCATATGATTAACCTACCAATTAAAATTATAAGATCAAAAGTTCTATAAATACATTATGTTACTTTTCTTTAAACGAGTGTTCCTCCATATTTTTCTACTTTCTTATCATACCCTATTTTCTAACTATTCTTAAGCAAAAAAGGTGCTTTAAGTTAGGTGATTGTATAAGTAATGCATATTCATAAAATATTATTATAAAGTCGTAACATCTTAAAGGTAATGTATTGTCTATATTTCTACTATATCAATAGATCTACTCTTTATAAAGGCATAAATTAGATTAAAGTAAGTTTTTTATACTTTTTTTGGGTGATATTTTCTCGATAAGTTTACTAATTATCATTTTTAATAATTTTATAACTAAAGCACAACAATAACATAAAATGGAGATGAAAAAAAATGTTTTGAGGAACAACAAAAAGTTTAGGATTAATTTAACTATTAATAATTATTATTATATATAATTTAAATATTTTTATTCATTTAATTAGTTCAAAACGTTAATCATTAATTTCAAATAAATTGATTTTGTTGGGTTATTGTCTCCACTGTTTCTGTTTCTCTAGTGCTTGGAAGTTGTTTTGAGGACCCGTGTTTTTTTGATACATTTGGGCTGTGGGTCTCTTGTTTAGGAAAAGGTTTTGCTGTGCATTGGTTTTGAATAGGTTGGGTACCCTTGTGCCCCTTAGTACTCTCATAATATCTCAATTATTATACTTTTTTTTCTAAAATAATTATCTTTTTTTTCACTTTAAATTTATTTTAAATTAGTTATTTTTAAGGTAAACAAAGGATAAAAATGTCACTTTTACCCTCATTTTGTTAAAACATTTGATGTAGAAAATCCTATAAGTGAGAAACTTTTTTTTCCTAACCAAACATATCTTAAGGGTTAAACCCATTGATAAGAAGTATTGTCTTATAAACT